ATTCTATGGCTGTTTTATACCTCTGAATCAGTTCCTCACTCCTAACTCGACCAACATCATTTCCTCCCACGCTAATGCAAATAATGGGATTGTTCCCATTACCAGCCATAATATCATTCATGTTGTTTATAATATCACCAATGTTTGCTCCGGGATAGCAAACCCTTAACCTGTTCCCCCTATCTCTAGCACAAAACGCTCTATCCAAATACCTTATCTGGGAATCTCCCACAACTAATGTTTGCTTAGGTACCTTTACTTTCTGAGGGGCCTGCGCTTCCTTTCTCTTCGTTGCTTTCCCTTTTGCGCGATCCGCAGTCTCACCACAGCACTCGTCCTCCAAAACGTCAAATGAATTAGAAGTTGCTATGGCGTTTGAAGGCGGCTTTATCAAAGTCTTCTTAAGGCCCCTGTCTTTCACAACTCTCCAAGACGAGGTCCCTTTGCGATAGGGAAAGGTGGTGAAGGATAGGGAAGGTGGTTAAGGATAGGGAAGGTACTGGTGAAGGACAGCCCGCCAAACACACCGAAGTACGACGTTGGTACAACGTTCGAACAAGTTTTAACAACTCCTAACCAGTTATAACAACCATTATAGCAAGTTATAACAAGGTTCTAATACATCATAAACACGTTAAGCCATGATGTAACAACTTTTATTTCAAGTTGTAACAAGCGGAAAATAGAGCCGGTTACGGTTTGTGTTTCCAGGGAGGGAAGTTGGTGAAGGATAAGGAAGGTAGTGGTGAAAGGTAGCGAAGGTGGTTAAGGATAGGGGAAGGTACTGGTGAATGATAGGGGAAGGTACTGGTGTATGATAGCGGAGGTACTGGTGAATGATAGCGGAGGTACTGGTGAATGATAGGGAAGGTACTGGTGAATGATAGGGAAGTTGATGAAGTGTAGGGAAGGTGGTTAAGGATAGGGAAGGTTCGGGTGAAGGACAGGGAAGGTACTGATGAAGGATAGGGAAGGTGGTGAAGGTTAGGGAAAGTACTGGTGATGGATAGGGAAGGGTCTGGTGAAGGATAGAGAAGGTACTGGTAAAGGATAAGGAAAACATAAGAACAAAGGTAAATGCAGAAGGCATATTGGCCCATACGAGGCAGCACCAACTTATAATCACCCAATCCCACTCATATACGTGTCCATCCCACGCTTGAAACAATCGAGGGACCCCACCTCCACTACTTTTCACGGTAACTGGTTCCCGCAAATCAACAACCCGATTACCGAACCAGTAAATAACTTTTAAATAAGTTACATTTTGAATCCACATCGAAATCCCTTTTTACGTCGCCTATCGCTAGGTTCACGTCTAGCTCCAAGACCGCCCCCCCCCATACCCAAGACTTTCCACTCTATTTATGAATAAAAAACATGAATGATATTATGACTGGAAATGGGAACAATCCCATTATTTTGCATTAGCCCAGGAGGAAATGATGTTGGTCGAGTTAGGAGTGAGGAACTGAATGAGAGATATAAAACAGCCATAGAATTAGTTAGAAGCAAGGGAGGAATCCCGATCATAAGAACATAAGAACAAAGGTAACTGCAGAAGGCCTATTGGCCCATACGAGGCAGCTCCTATCTATAACCACCCAATCCCACTCATATATTTGTCCAACCCATGCTTGAAACAATCGAGGGACCCCACCTCCACAATGTTACGCGGCAATTGGTTCCACAAATCAACAACCCTGTTACTGAACCAGTGTTTACCCAAGTCTTTCCTAAATCTAAACTTATCCAATTTATACCCATTGTTTCGTGTTCTGTCTTGTGTTGATACTTTTAATACCCTATTAATATCCCCTTTGTTATGTCCATTCATCCACTTGTAAACCTCTATCATGTCACCCCTAACTCTTCGCCTTTCCAGTGAATGCAACTTAAGCTTTGTTAATCTTTCTTCATATGAAAGATTTCTAATTTGGGGAATTAACTTAGTCATCCTATATTGGACACGTTCAAGTGAATTTATATCCATTCTATAATACGGCGACCAAAACTGAACTGCATAATCTAAATGGGGCCTAACCAGAGCAAGATATAGCTTAAGAACCACACCAGGTGTCTTGTTACTAACGCTTCGATTAATAAATCCCAGTGTCCTATTCACCTTATTACCAACATTCATGCATTGATCCTTTTGTTTTAAATTCGTACTAATCATAACTCCCAGATCCCTTTCACAATATGAACATACTACTGTGACCTGGTGGTCCCAGGCCTTGGCTGGAGGTACTACTGTGACCTGGTGGTCCCAGGCCTTGGCTGGAGGTACTACTGTGACCTGGTAGTCCCAGGCCTTGGCTGGAGATGGAGGTACTACTGTGACCTGGTAGTCCCAGGCCTTGGCTGGAGGTACTACTGTGACCTGGTGGTCCCAGGCCTTGGCTGGAGGTACTACTGTGACCTGGTGGTCCCAGGCCTTGGCTGGAGGTACTACTGTGACCTGGTAGTACCAGGCCTTGGCTGGAGATGGAGGTACTACTGTGACCTGGTGGTCCCAGGCCTTAGCTGGAGGTACTACTGTGACCTGGTGGTCCCAGGCCTTAGCTGGAGGTACTACTGTGACCTGGTGGTCCCAGGCCTTGGCTGGAGGTACTACTGTGACCTAGTGGTCCCAGGCCTTGGCTGGAGGTACTACTGTGACCTGGTGGTCCCAGGCCTTGGCTGGAGATGGAGGTACTACTGTGACCTGGTGGTCCCAGGCCTTGGCTGGAGATGGAGGTACTACTGTGACCTGGTGGTCCCAGGCCTTGGCTGGAGATGGAGGTACTACTGTGACCTGGTGGTCCCAGGCTTTGGCTGGAGATGGAGGTACTACTGTGACCTGGTAGTCCCAGGCCTTGGCTGGAGGTACTACTGTGACCTAGTGGTCCCAGGCCTTGGCTTGAGGTACTACTGTGACCTAGTGGTCCCAGGCCTTGGCTGGAGGTACTACTGTGACCTGGTAGTCCCAGGCCTTGGCTGGAGGTACTACTGTGACCTGGTAGTCCCAGGCCTTGGCTGGAGGTACTACTGTGACCTGGTGGTCCCAGGCCTTGGCTGGAGGTACTACTGTGACCTGGTGGTCCCAGGCCTTGGCTGGAGATGGAGGTACTACTGTGACCTGGTAGTCCCAGGCCTTGGCTGGAGATGGAGGTACTACTGTGACCTGGTGGTCCCAGGCCTTGGCTGGAGGTACTACTGTGACCTAGTGGTCCCAGGCCTTGGCTGGAGGTACTACTGTGACCTGGTGGTCCAAGGCCTTGGCTGGAGGTACTACTGTGACCTGGTGGTCCCAGGCCTTGGCTGGAGATGGAGGTACTACTGTGACCTGGTAGTCCCAGGCCTTGGCTGGAGATGGAGGTACTACTGTGACCTGGTGGTCCCAGGCCTTGGCTGGAGGTACTACTGTGACCTAGTGGTCCCAGGCCTTGGCTGGAGGTACTACTGTGACCTGGTGGTCCCAGGCCTTGGCTGGAGATGGAGGTACTACTGTGACCTGGTGGTCCCAGGCCTTGGCTGGAGATGGAGGTACTACTGTGACCTGGTGGTCCCAGGCCTTGGCTGGAGATGGAGGTACTACTGTGACCTGGTGGTCCCAGGCCTTGGCTGGAGATGGAGGTACTACTGTGACCTGGTAGTCCCAGGCCTTGGCTGGAGGTACTACTGTGACCTAGTGGTCCCAGGCCTTGGCTGGAGGTACTACTGTGACCTAGTGGTCCCAGGCCTTGGCTGGAGGGACTACTGTGACCTGGTGGTCCCAGGCCTTGGCTGGAGGTACTACTGTGACCTAGTGGTCCCAGGCCTTGGCTGGAGGTACTACTGTGACCTAGTGGTCCCAGGCCTTGGCTGGAGGGACTACTGTGACCTGGTGGTCCCAGGCCTTGGCTGGAGGTACTACTGTGACCTAGTGGTCCCAGGCCTTGGCTGGAGGTACTACTGTGACCTAGTGGTCCCAGGCCTTGGCTGGAGGTACTACTGTGACCTAGTGGTCCCAGGCCTTGGCTGGAGGTACTACTGTGACCTAGTGGTCCCAGGCCTTGGCTGGAGGTACTACTGTGACCTGGAGGTCCCAGGCCTTGGCTGGAGGTACTACTGTGACCTAGTGGTCCCAGGCCTTGGCTGGAGGTACTACTGTGACCTAGTGGTCCCAGGCCTTGGCTGGAGGGACTACTGTGACCTGGTGGTCCCAGGCCTTGGCTGGAGGTACTACTGTGACCTAGTGGTCCCAGGCCTTGGCTGGAGGTACTACTGTGACCTAGTGGTCCCAGGCCTTGGCTGGAGGTACTACTGTGACCTAGTGGTCCCAGGCCTTGGCTGGAGGTACTACTGTGACCTGGTGGTCCCAGGCCTTGCCTGAAGGAAGTACTGTGTCCTGGGGGATCCTCGTTATGGAAAGTTCTGTATCGAGGTAACCCCCCCCCCCCCGGTCGAGGGAGCACCTCGGGGGAACTACTGCGGACATACCCAGAAAGGCAAGTTTCAATTCTCTTAACACTGTATTTTTACCTAAAAGTGTTAAATATATATACATATTTTACGATGAACGTGTTCGCTGTATTGTGAAACAAATTGCTCATTTGAGAAGTTGAGAAGGCCAAACATTTTGGGCCTTCTCACTTGTTAATGAATTGCATTTAACATTATGTCAAATCTGGAACTTTGATCATGATGTAGCCTATGAAAACACAAAATGTGAATTATAATGAACAATTCCTGTTTCACTGAACCTCATCTTTCTCCGTGGTGTAGTGGTAAGACACTCGCCTGGCGTTCCGCGAGCGCTATGTCATGGGTTCGTATCCTGGCCGGGGAGGATTTACTGGGCGCAATTCCTTAACTGTAGCCTCTGTTTAACGCAACAGTAAAATGTGTACTTGGACGAAAAAACGATTCTTCGCGGCAGGGGATCGTATTCCAGGGACCTGCCCGAAACGCTACGCGTACTAGTGGCTGTACAAGAATGTAACAACTCTTGTATATATCTCAAAAAAAAAAATGTAATATCTCTAACGTTCAGACTTCAGTTTATAAGTAGTTTATTCTAGGTAATATTTAGCAATATACTCTAATCTGGCATTTCCTCAGATTATAAAACATCATAGAAACTTTCATTTGGGAATCTCTTCTACCAGAGATCATCGGAGAGAACTTTAGCAGCTGTTTCAAGCATGTGGGTGACAGTTGTATGAAGCAGGTGGGTGACAACTGTATGAAGCAGGTGAGTGACAACTGTATCAAGCAGGTGGGTTACAGCTGTATCAAGCAGGTGGATGACAGCCGTATCAAGCAGATGGGTGACAACTGACTCAAGCAGGTGGGTGACAATTGTATCAAGCAGGTGGGTGACAGCTGTATCAAACAGGTGGGTGGACAGCTGCAAAATGTAATCAAAAGCTTTCATTTGGGAATCTCTTCTACCAGAGATCACCGGAGAGAACTTTAGCAGCTGTTTCAAGCAGGTGGGTGACAGCTGCCAGGTGTTCAGCAAAGGTTCTCCACAGATGCTGCCGATCCTCCTCTGCTGCCTCTTCAATATCGGCGAGTGTATCAACTAATCCAGCAAATGCTGTACTTGAATATGCATCGTTCTTGCTGGGAGCAGTTATCACATGGCTGTATTGGGGAAGAGAAGATGTGTTAAGTACTGGTAGAATCTAATTTAGAATCTAATCTTCCAGAGCAGACCTCAAGGGCAGACAGCTGTTCATTTTAATGCAAAATAGGGACTTCTCCTTCCAAGGCCCTCACTTTAAGACAGTCTTTGCGGACAACCTTAGGGGCACCCCTGACATTTTGCTGATCAACGGAGACTGATCTATTTCACTGCAAAGTGACCCCAGGCAAGAATGTAGGGTGTGACCACATCCCGGTGGGCACCATCCCGGTGGTCACCATCCCGGTGGTCACCATCCCGGTGGTCACCATCCCGGTGGTCACCATCCCGGTGGTCACCACCCCGGTGGTCACCATCCCGGTGGTCACCATCCCGGTGGGCACCACCCCGGTGGTCACCATCCCGGTGGTCACCATCCCGGTGGTCACCACCCCGGTGGTCACCATCCCGGTGGGCACCACCCCGGTGGTCACCATCCCGGTGGTCACCATCCCGGTGGGCACCACCCCGGTGGTCACCACCCCGGTGGTCACCATCCCGGTGGTCACCATCCCGGTGGTCACCATCCCGGTGGTCACCACCCCGGTGGTCACCACCCCGGTGGTCACCACCCCGGTGGTCACCATCCCGGTGGTCACCATCCCGGTGGGCACCATCCCGGTGGTCACCACCCCGGTGGTCACCATCCCGGTGGTCACCATCCCGGTGGTCACCATCCCGGTGGTCACCATCCAGGTGGTCACCACCACGGTGGTCACCATCCCGGTGGGCACCACCCCGGTGGTCACCATCCCGGTGGTCACCACCCCGGTGGGCACCACCCCGGTGGTCACCATCCCGGTGGTCACCATCCCGGTGGTCACCATCCCGGTGGTCACCACCCCGGTGGGCACCACCCCGGTGGTCACCATCCCGGTGGTCACCATCCCGGTGGTCACCATCCCGGTGGTCACCATCCCGGTGGTCACCATCCCGGTGGGCACCATGCCGGTGGTCACCATCCCGGTGGTCACCATCCCGGTGGTCACCATCCCGGTGGTCACCATCCCGGTGGACACCATCCCGGTGGTCACCATCCCGGTGGTCACCATCCCGGTGGTCACCATCCCGGTGGTCACCATCCCGGTGGGCACCATCCCGGTGGTCACCATCCCGGTGGTCACCATCTCGGTGGTCACCATCCCGGTGGTCACCATCCCGGTGGGCACCATCCCGGTGGTCACCATCCCGGTGGTCACCATCCCGGTGGTCACCATCCCGGTGGTCACCATCCCGGTGGTCACCATCCCGGTGGTCACCATCCCGGTGGTCACCATCCCGGTGGGCACCATGCCGGTGGTCACCATCCCGGTGGTCACCATCCCGGTGGTCACCATCCCGGTGGACACCATCCCGGTGGTCACCATCCCGGTGGTCACCATCCCGGTGGTCACCATCCCGGTGGTCACCATCCCGGTGGGCACCATCCCGGTGGTCACCATCCCGGTGGTCACCATCCCGGTGGTCACCATCCCGGTGGTCACCATCCCGGTGGTCACCATCCCGGTGGTCACCATCCCGGTGGTCACCATCCCGGTGGTCACCACCCTCCAAGCTACCCCCTTCCGGTTCGTGGCACCTCACATCCGGAAGCACCTCACAGCTGGAAACCATGGAAGCTCAGGCCTATCACGCCTTTCTCGCTGATGATCCCATCCTTGACTCTGACAATCTCCCAACCCAAACAATCGACCACGCTGTCAACACCATCCACAACCACATCCACAAGAGCAGGCCGACCTCAGGGGCGCAGTATGGCAAAAGACAATCACAGCTTCAAACAGCAGAGCCTTCAACAACATACACTTCAACCATGTCAACCAATGGACCACAGAAAACGCCGCTTCTCTACTTAGCACCCCCTCGATAGACCTAACAACCCTCCATAACGACCACCCCCTAACAAGAAGCATATCAATGGTAGAGATGAGTGGAACCATTAAGAGCATCCGCAATAAGGCCCCAGGACCATCGGGCATCAAGGCAAAGCAGATCAAACTCCTACCATGCAATCTTCTGCAATCCCTACTCAACATATTCAAGGTCCATGCTGTATCTGGCCACGTTCCCGTAGCATTCAAATCGGCCAAGATGATATTCATTCCCAAACCCAAGAAAAGTCCCGCCAGCCCGGCAACTACCGCTCAGTTTCCCTCTTGGCCACATTAGGCAAGTGTTTTGAAAAAATCATATCCAACCGTTTCAACTACTATATGGAGTACAACAATCTCTTCACAGAAAAACAGTTCGGCTTTCGAACGCAGCAGTCAACCCAGCATGCAATAAACATCATCTATGATGCTGTCAGCTCAATCCGGCAGCAAAAACAGGTAGCCCTGATTGCGATGAGAGATGTACACAAGGCCTCCGACAGCCTATGGCACGATGGCCTTGTGTACAAACAAGCACACTTACCAGCCCAAAACTGAACCCTCCTCAGACTGATCAGAAAATTCCCTAAGAACAGGCAAGTTACTCCCAGCTTCAAGACGAAAGCGGCAGCAGTCTTCACTTCAACAGCTGGAGTCCCCCCAAAGGTCGTGCGTGAACCCGGACTTCTATAACATTTTCGTAAACGACCTGCCCCAACCGAAGAACAGGGACACTATCATCGTCTAATTTGCTGACGACGTAACATACGTAATAACATCCAACCCAAGCATCCAAACAGCCAAACATGCGACAGTAATACGTAAGGCGAACGTAGAACTAGCTAGGACTGCTAACTGGGAAAGAAAATGGAGGGTCACCACCTACCCAGACAAGATCGAAATAACCACTGTCGGCTTTATGGCCTACACAATTGAAGATGAGGAGAGGAGGATAAGGATCAGGGGCGAACCCATAGTCATCTCAAACTCCAACACAGTGCTTGGATACAACTTCAACAGGCTACTTAACTCCATCCAGTATGTCTCCCAGAAGACAGCGATGACTTAGGGTTCCCTGACGAGGCTATTCCGCTTCCGGCAAGCCCCATCCAACGTCAAGCTAAATCTGCAGAGAATGATTATAAAACCTAGCCTCGCGTACCCATACGCCCCCCTGAACCTCACCATCAAAAACAACATGTTGAAGATCCAACGGGTCCAAAACAAAGCACTTCGCTTCGTGGCGGGCCTGTTGCTGGCAGACAGGGTCAGGCAGCTGTACAGCATGAAGCATATGTATGTCCCAGACCCCGAAGAACCCCACGAAGCAGTAAACACAACCGTTACTATGAGATCCATGAACCACCAAGCAGAACCAGAAGAATCACTCTCTAACAAAAAGGATCAGACATATCCATGATCAGGCTTTCCCGAGACCTCAAATACTAAGTGGTCTGCCAGACGACCCAAATGAGTGGCCCATCCCGGACCCGATTTATACTTATTTAAAAATCAATAAAATGAAAATACAAAAAAACTTTTTTGTGCTACTAGAAGAGTATCTACACTGATGCTACTAAGATTAATCTCCTGCAGTTAACTCCAACGGCTTTAGGGTTTCCAGACACCAGCTAGGACACAAACATTAGCCACCCAGCCAATGTACTGACAACCCAACTGTGGGAACCGACCTGTGAGATTTATATTTATTTAATTTATATGAATTTATATAGAATTTATATTTACGTTAATTTATATATTTCGATAGCAATTTGTATGACGTTAAGTGGACTGTATTTCTGCAGTAATCTCACAAATCGATCCATACACATTAGGGGGGGTTTATATTGAATTTATATATATGCAGCCAATCAAACTACAGTATTAACTACATATATTAGTATACATTGAGGAGGTGCCTTATCTTATTGCACAACAGGCTTAGTCCACCAGGTATAACTAGGATGTAGACACCAAATTATCCTCATGTGAGGCAGCTTCCATCACCCAGTAACTGATATACCAAGCTTGCTTCCTCTTCTTGTTCCTGTCAAAGGGCACTAGCTGTAAAGCCAGAATCCTATATATATGACAGCTATATCAGAGAAAACACTGTATATTATATATGATAAGGACCAAGGCTTAATTACCTTTAGTTGAGGTGAGTTTCCATTCTAACCGGTTCGCCCCTATCTACCTAACATTAATGGATAAAAATGATTAGATAAACAGGTTTCGGTAGAACACTTCCCTTGATTAGGTTGACAGCCTGTTGATGATGGAAGACCACTACTCTGATCTCCGTCACACTTCGTCCAAGAGAAATGATAGGAGCTGAATTTGCTCCCTGCGCCTCTGGACCTAGATTCAGGAAGCTCTGTGTATTTCTTCGTAAGTGGGTTTGCTACGAAGGTTCCTAAGTGCGCCCTAAGAAGATGCTTAGGTGCGATTCAATAAGGTATACTTAGGAAGAAAATTGTTGGTTCACCTGCGTGCCGATAGAGGTCACTACTGTGTTTCGTTTGGCCAATCAGAGAGCAGCAACATTCTTCATATTGAAGATTTAGCGCTGGCTTATCGGAGCTCTACTGCCTCCTATTTACGTCGAATTTTCTTATAAAATTAGTATATTTCGAAGTAAAACAATGTTTTTTCAACTTCTACAGCCAGCACCGACATTGTAGTAAACAAATATGTTACATTTGTTGTTTACCTACGTAATTCTAAGAGATACTGTGTAGCTGTCCTTGTTGCTCGGAAGATGCGCTGACAATTATTGTATATATTTACTGAATTTACCCAAGGGCCACTAACTATCTAGTGACCTCGAAGAGGACAGAAAGCCGGCGGCTTGTTAAAGGGCCCGCCAATTGTCTTAATGATATTTTTTAGCTGGAATTTGGCATTTACGGCTTCAGCGGGTAGGCGGTTCCATGGGTTTATAGCCCTCTTGGTGGAAAAAAAACATCTGTTTTCAGTCCTACTTGAGAGAACATACTCTCCAACACTATATCTGTGATTGTCCTGTTATCAGTGACTTCATACCAAATGGTATGAGGTATTTTGAACTCTGTAATTACTTCATACAC